CCAGGCAGGTGATATGTGGAGGAGTGCAGCAGCCCCAGCAAGGAGAGCAGAGTGCTTGCTCCCACTCTTGTCATGCCATTCACCAGGAGCTGAGGGAGCCTGACCTCTTGGCAGTCATGTGCAGCCCTCACCCCGCTTACTCTGGTTAGGGAGTAGGTGCTGTTCTTTGAGAAGGCAGCGCAGCATGAGGTGGACCACATGGGTGGTCTCGTCGGCACTCTTCCCCAGCATCTTTGTTAAATGCTCCAAGTCTCTCTGGATGTGCTGCTGCAGGAATCTTTTTGGGTCACTCACTGGAGGCTTGATGATGTTTATCAAAGCCTGAGAGAGCAAGAAAATAAGATGTTCAGTGGGACCTGTGTGTAGAGGACACAGTGAGAGGCCAAGGGAGCAAAGCACCTGCGCTGGGGATAAGGTGGTTTCTAGGTAAGGTCAGGGTGCTCTCAGGCAACAGATGGAATCACATGCATCTCATGATGCAGGCAGAAGAGGAAAGGAGGCAGGTGATTGGAGCCAGAGACTGTTGGCTCTCATGTCATCCTGGTGCAGCAGGGAATGCTTCCCTATACCTCAAATAGCCACCACCATGAGGGGGTGACAGGGTCCTACCACCTCCCCATGCCCAGGTTTTGGCTGAGGAAAAGAGTTGTACAGGCCAAGTAGACTTTATGAGCTGATTATTACACCTTGTATTCACATGCTAAGATGTCACACTGTATGTGTAATTGCTTTGTGTCAGTTAAAACAGATTTTAAAATTAAAAAATGAAGAGGATTTTCCATAATCTGATGAATAGTTACCCCACTGCATCATATGTCAAGTGGAAAAAGCAGGATCTATAACTTTTGTATTACCCTGTGACTAGGTAAAATCCCTAGGTGTCTAGGACTTTGTAGACAAAAGGACTGACTGTAAACACAGCGGGTTCTTCCTATGGCAACATAAGAGAGTCTAGTGGTAGCATCTTATACCTGAGGATTTTGAGTGGCTCCCAAAAGCATAGCCAAATGAGTGAGTAGCCGGATGAGAATGAAGACGACCGGGGACAGCTCTCGGTCAGACACCACTATGACATCTCTGGGTTACGGGTGGCCCAGCACATGGCCAGTCTTGCTTCTATCTGTGCTGGCTCTGGAAAGGATGAGAGGAAACAGGGTGAAGATTGGAGATGTCTGTTTCTCCTCAGCAAAGGTCTCACACCTTAATGACTATGTTCCCAGTTTTTTTTTTATTTGTTTTGTTTTGTTTTCTTTTCTTTTTGTTTTTGGTATTGGGGATTGAACCCAGGGGCTCAACCACTGAGCTACATTCTCAACCCCCAATTTTTAGTTTTTATTTTGAGAAAGTCTTGCTAAGTTGCTGAAGCTGGCTTTGATTATCCTGCCTCAGCCTACTGAGTCACTGGGATTATAGGTGTGCACCACCACACCCAGTTTTGAAGAAAACTCTAAAAGTACTGGTTATTCCGAGCCTAGACCACCTGCCTCCAAGTCCTTCTCTTTAGACCCACCCTGCTGACTGGCCAAACCCTGCAACATTCCCAGTGTTAAGTAGCTGCAGTGGGCCAAGTAGACTTTATGATCTGATCATTACAGATCATTAATGTGGCCATTAGTGCAGGGTGTCGGGATGGAGGCCAACACCTACATCAGGACAGCAAGTTTGGAGCATTTTTGCATCCTCATGGGGTTTGTCTACGTTTTTCTCAATATTCCCAAATCAAAAACTGAGATACACAGTCTGGCAAAAATTTTTTGAGATTTAATGACATTGATAGTTTATGGAGATAACAGGCTAGACGATTTTAAATTTTGTAACAGAATAACCAGATGTATGATGATGGTAGAAAGTCCTGCCTTTCATCTTAAGGGAACACTGACAGCTACACTTATCTTAGAATCAAGCATGGGACTGTGAGATCAGATTTTTATTTTTATTTATATTTTCAGTTTTGGGAATTGAGCTAGGGCCTCAAATATGCTAAGAAAGCACCCTACCTCTGAACTATGCCCCCTATCCTTTCTATTTTTATTTTGAGATGGTCTCACAAAGTTTCCCAGG